TATGCAAAAACACTGTAGGAAAATAAAATTTTAAAAAAGCTTGTAGGGGGGAAAGTAATACATGTACCTTTTCCCTGACTTCTGCCCATGGCATCTAGCCAAGGGTAATGTCCCCATATGTTCCTGGTGAGATACGGGAATTGCTGAATCTCCAAAATCTATTTAGAACATGCTGCTGCACTGGAGTGTCTTCCCTGGAGCTTTTGAGTGCTCAGCAACACTCAGGCTTTTGTTGGAAGGATGGCGATATCACCAAATGCAGTATGGAAGCTGAGGGAAATGTGGGTATTTGCAACTTTTTTGTAGCTGTTAATTTTGGGGGGCATCAGTGAATAAGCAGACTGCCTCTCAGAGTTATAAACAGGCATTCCCAGTGCAAGTTGGCATGTTAAATGCCAGGAAAGAAATGTAATTGACCTCACTTTTTTAAGGGTGCATGCAGCTGGGAAGCTGGATTTCTCATACACTCTGCTAGACAGTGCTGGAGGGGGTGGAAGAGACTGAGCATTGCTTTTACATAATTTCTCTAATCTCCTGCAGACGGAGTAATGTGATGTCGGTCTAAAGGGCCATGGGTAAGGCTAGACATGGTTATTCACAGATAGAGCTTTCAATAGGGCAGCATCTAAGCAGCTAGTGAAGCAGAGAGGGTGACAATGTTGCAGTGCTTTTATAGAAGAAAGAAGAGGATTGTCACCCTCTGAGGAGAAGTTCCAATTCAATGGAGGACAGATAGAAAATCAGAAAAAAAATCAGAGAGCCTGGTTTTACTGGTATGCGCAGCCTACATTGCACAGTTCTGCTTTAACTACCCCATCTTCCCAGCAGCCTATACTCACCTTTCCTTACATTATACTACGGGGCTCATTTTTAACAGTGAATGGATATTACTATATGCTGTCTGTTATACTTCATTGTCTTACTCAATACTGCAGCCTGCATTTCCAGCCTATTTATAAAATGCAGGTTGCTATATTGAGCCTTTAGTAGCCCATTATTATCTCAATGCTTAAAGCAGTATAGAGAATTCTGTGAGTGGAAGACAGCAGGTCACATGACTTTGAAAGGTCTCCGGATTGGGCTCCCCTTGCATATTTTTTCAGTTACATAGTTACATATAGTTACATAGTATTTGAGGTTGAATAAAGACATAAGTCAATCAAGTCCAACCTAGTGTGTGTGTGTGTGTGTGTGTGTGTGTGTGTGTGTGTGTGTGTGTGTAAAGGGTCCCTGTGTCATCTCACTCTTAAGAGTACCTGTACCCCTGTACATTATGGTCACTCAGGAAATCGTCCAAAAGATTCTTGAATGATTCCACACTATTTGCCAAAATCACTGCCTGTGGCAGAGTTCCAAACCCTAACCGCTCTAACTGAGAAGAACCACTTTCGCAGTGAAGCAATTTTTGCTTCACTGCTTAACGAAACCTGAAGTGAATGAACTGTAATGCATATTTATAAATATTATATGTTTTTTTTAAAGTAGTGGTCAGGGATATTACTGCATTATGAATGGGGCCATAAGTACAACATACCTGCTCCAGGGTATAAGAGATGTCTCCGTTTATGCCACACTTACCTCTCTGTGGCAGTAGCAGATTTATTCAGTGAAGCAAAGTTCTATAGCCCAAAACAAGGAGATGAATTCAGTAAATGCAAGCTTACTTGGCTACTATAGATTACCATACTGTTCCATCTGTACTGCTCTACTAAATAAACCTGGCTGTGTAATTGTGTGATGTGTGTTTTGATTGCAATGTAGCCCCATACGTTTGCATGCTAACTAAAGTATATAGATGAAAGATATATAGAACATTATTGGTGTGTAGCCAATGACTTATTTACCAAGGAAAGTAGTAAACATGCCAAGAGCATTATTTGTTAAGTACTTAAGTACTAACTGAAAGCTTTGTTTAGCATTATTTTGTTTTGGTTTATCTACTTTTCTTCACACTACTTTACTTTTCTTTTTCACATGTCTTGCAAGCACAGTGTGTATATTCACATTCTGGTGTGACATTTACTGGCCAAATATTAAAGGAATGTAAGTGTGAGAATTCTTATTGAGCAGTCTTCCAAACTCATTAGACACAATAATGTTATCTGACATCCATGCCTTGATGGGATCCTGTCTAGTAACCAATCTCCAAGTCTCTATTGTTCATAAAACACAGACCTCTTGTCAACCTTAATCTAATGTGGCAGCAGTTCAAAAGAGTACGTTAATTATTAATCACTGATAACTTGAAGATAAAGTGGTCTATCTCTGAATGAGGTCATTATCAGTAAACAACATAATCTTCTATTTCCTATACGATTCTCAAGATTCCAGTATTTTCAGCATGAACACTCTCTCAGTTGATATTTAAAGTAACAGAAAGAAATGTGGCTTTAAACTTTACATATCTACTTTATTTATTTCAATATTTTCATGATCATGTTTAAGATACATATACTGTAAGTTCTTCCCTTACTGCCTGCCTGTCAATTTGTGCAATAAAAATTCTCAACTGCTTTAAGAAAATCAATTACAAGCTTTGGCTAATGAGTGTTTTCATCTCTTTGCTTTGTACAAGTAGAAGACAGGCTGCTGGAAGTCCCAGTACCGGCTTATTGAAAGGAATCAACTATAATTGGACAAGTTTTCTAACCCGTCCAATTACTTTCTCTCCAAGATCTGTTGGTCTTTCTGCAGCTACCTATAGTAATGGCTCTTTCACCCATATCAATCAATATCACCTTATGTCTATAGGTACTTTAATACTATATCTGATTTACAAAAAATCTGAAGATATCACCCTTTATGCCAATGAATTAAAAAGCAAAGATGGTTGATGAAGATGATGACTTTAAATGTACAAAAATGTGCCAAAGTATGTGACATACAACCAATCGCCATCATGTAACCTGTTTCAGCCCACACAGTAATGACATTTGATCTGGGAGTTTACAAGAAAGGTCACTGTGATTTGACTAGGCATAAGGTAGAGAAACTTGACCTAGTTCTAACTGCCCAATATTCCTAATTTGTTCATGCTATTCAAATTTTCTTATTCATTTGTGTAAATTTCACACCACAGTACAGATAAAGCAAAACATTTAATTCTAAATAGTCTAAATGTTGTTTAGAAAGCTAAATAGCTTTAGAAGACTATGCACAGAGATTTAAAATAATCTAACACTAGGGGGGTTATTTATAAACTATCCACAGGGCCCTTCACTATGCGAATATCTATGAACATGTGTTCTGTGTGGATATATGACAAAGGAACATTCTTTAGTTGTTTCTTTACAAGGCAATGTATGTTTGAATGCACTATTTATTGTCTATGCTACTCGGTGGCATCAAGTCCATAATGTAATAGTACATACAAAAAAAATCTAAAGAACGCACAGGACAAATGTTCAAAGATATTTGCAGGGTAAACGGCCCTGTGAATGGTTTATAGTTAGACCCCATAGACTGTTTAGAAGGCACACTAACCACCAACTACACTTTGCTGTTGATCTACAAATCTGATACAAACACTGATTTTCTAAGGGATTTATTCACTATTGAGCCAAAGGATACAGCTGTAGCTTTGGCTCTCTTCGGCTGATGGAGCCCTTTGGTTCAGTCGAACCGAAATATTGCTGTGCGGGCTATTCACAATAACACGTACAGCAGCCGAAGCCAGCCGAGCGGCTCAGCCGAGCCGAAGGAATATGCTACAGCGCTAGACAGAGCCGAAGTGACAGCCGAAGCGGGGCGGGCAGCCTGCTGAAGACCGGCTGTTTGCCCCTCAAATGACAGCTGTGAAGAGCCAGCCGAGATCTCACGGCTCACTCTGCCCAGTTGTAATGACAGATCAGCATCTCCAAATGACCTGGGGATGCTGATCTGTCATTAAACAATTTCAACTGGGCGGAGCCGGTAGTGACGTCCCGGCCGTCTCTGCCCACTTGTTATTCATTGTCGTCCAAAAGGAAACAGTTGGGTGGAGCTATCTGTCACTGCTGGCTCTGCCCAATTGTTTTTTTTTTTGTTTTTTTTCTTTAAAATATATATATTTTTATTAATTGTTTTCAAATTCTTTGCACTTATTTTCTATTCTGCTCGGTACCACGGAGATACCGAGCAGTCCTTCTGCACTTCGGCTGACCGAAGGCAGCCAATGTACGGCTGATTTTTAGCCGATGGACGGCTAAAATAAGCCATACAAGCCAGAAGTGAATAGTAGAACA